GACCGGTATCTAGGTACTGACTTGTGCTTCAAGTGAAAGACATGATGTCAGAATAATCGACACTGGCAATAGAAACAGAAACACTCCTGATGCCAGTGAACAAGATTCTCAGCTTGGATTTCTAATTCCATGATTAACGTTCAAACTAGAAGAAAAACGGCCACAAACATCAGTTCAAAATATTTTGGCTGACGTGTTGAACGAAAAAATAAATAAAAATGAAACACACACACACACATGTATATATGTGTGTGTGTGTGTGTGTAAAGATATATATACATATATATATCTTTACACACACACACACACACACACACACACACACACACATATATATATGTGTGTGTGTGTGTGTGTAAACATATATATACATATATATATATGTATATATATATATATGTTTACACACACACACACACACACACACACACACACACACACATACACACACACACACACACACACACACACACACACACACACACACACACACACACACACACACACACACACACACACACACACACACACACACACACATCAGATATTCAGATATTTATTTTAAAATGAAGAGAAAAGGTCTAACAATGAGGCATTTTTACTTTCTTAGAAATCGGTGTTTGCAGTCATGAGATGTAAACAAACAAACACCCACATAAACAAAAACAATAACCTGATGGTGATTTTTTAAAAACGGCCTTGAATCATTAGGAGTCGTGACTAATGGGACTCAGCTGGACTCGGTTGTGCTCAGTGAGATCCACCACAGCAGACTGGACCTATCAGGTAGCTGAGCAGGTTTCTCCAGAGAGGATCACTGTCCAGGCCTGAGCTGTAATTAGATGTGTGTGAGACCTGACACCCTGCCAGACACAAGCCTTCTGTAGGACACTGAACACGATGAGATCTTTATCTCTAGAGGCTCTTTCATCAGGCTGCCTGGGATATCACCTTCTCTTCAGTATTCAGAGAGAAGCAGCACGGCCTTTCTTGAGCCGAGGTGAAGGAAAGCATTCCACTAACCTAACCACATCTTCCTAAACCAAAGCTGTTTATTCAGTATTATCCTCACAAATAAAAACATTGTTCAGCCTTGCAGGCTTTGGTTTTAGCGTTCTGGGGCGACAGAGGCAGAGGACTTAAGAGTCCGCCCTGTAATCTGAAGGTTGCAGGTTGAATGTCCGCTCAGTCTGACACAGTCGTGTCCTTGGTCACTTAACCCACCTTGCTGCTGGTGGTCAGAGGGACTGGGGGTACCTGTGCTCTGCAGCCTCGCCTCTGTGTGCCCCAGGGCAGCTGTGGCTACAGCATAGCTCATCCTCACCAGGGTGAGAATGACTGGTTGTGTTGTAAAGTGCCTTGGGGGGTTCTAGGACTATAGAAGGCTATTTATCAAATACAGGCCATTAACCATTTTACCATTCTCAAATGTTTATAAATGATAAATGACTCAGTCCGCCGGTGTCCCACCTCTGCCCTCAGCATCCAGGAGCCTCATGTCAGCTTGTTTCTGGATCAGCTTGGTCATCATTATGTGGTTCCCCCTCTCAGCTGCTAACATGACTGGTGTTTGGCCCTGTGTGTTTTGAACGTTAGGCGTTGCTCCCTTAGACAGGAGGAGGTCAATGAGCTCTGTGAAGAGACAGAATAATGTGTTTAACTTGTGACCAGACGAGAGTTGTGTCCGACTGGAGGCAGAGAGGAGAGCTGCCTCCGTTCTCACGGAACAGCGCCGCACCCTGTGACTGAAACAAGAAGCTGTCGCATGCCCGCGGCGGTCTTGATGTCGATGACTACCCTGTTTTATTCCATGTGCTGCACATGCTGGTGTTCCACAGTCTATCTAATAACGACTGTGTGAGACAGTTTTAGTCTTCTGAGTGGCGTAAATGCAGAGAAAAGCACGGGGGAGGAAGGCCTCACTGACAGCGGCAGTGCTCAGCCCCATAAACAGCGGTGCAACCCCGCATGGGGGGAAGTTACGGCCTTGACACGCTGTCAAGGTCAACTCATTTGCTTTGACAAAACTCTACACTGAAGGACTTTCTGTATATAAGGTGGATTTTCAGTCAGAACAGGAGGTAGAGGATGATTTCTACAACAGAGTGATGAAGATGTCAGGTTCAACTCTGCCCAGATTAAACACTAACATTTTAATCAGGTTTGCCTGATTAAAGGAGCCAGTTGAGGTGGCTCGAGCATCTGGTTAGGATGCCTCCTGGACGCCTTCCTGGTGAGGTTTTCTGGGCACGTCCAACCGGGAGGAGACCTAAAGGTAGACCCAGGACACGGTGAAGGGACTATGTCTCTCACCTGGCCAGGGAACACCTTGGGATTCCCCGGAAGAGCTGGCTAAAGTGGCTGGGGAGAGGGAAGTCTGGGCCTCTCCACTTAGGCTGCTGCCCCTGCGACTCGACTCCAGATAAGTGGATGAAAATGGATGCATGGTTGATGGTTTGTCCCAATATTAAATATTATTTTGCTTTTCTTCCTAATTTATTGTTGAATACAATGAAATTGATTACAGCATAATTAAGACATTTTAAAACAACAAAATATTTAATTCAAGGTCAAAATAAAATATCTGCTTCATTTTGGGATCATATGTTTTTAAGTACAACTCCAGGGCGGCCATTACCTTCCCAGTCATGACCTTACTGGCTTCTGCTAGCCGAGACGTTGTCTGCTGTTTCCTGGACGCTAAACCAACAACAGCCTTCCCCGTCGTGAGTCCAGATGGAAGGGTTAATGAATGTTACGTAACAGTGTGACACAGATCTGTCAGAATTTTAACCCTTCAGTTTCACCGTCTATTTTCTATCAGAAGCTACTGTAGGAGACTATTTTCATGTTCAGCTTGCGTGAAAAACTCAGAGTGACTCATTATAATCAGAAATAATCATCAAAAATGTTTTCTCTGAGCCCTCCTCCACGCAGATCTAAACATAAACACACACCATAACAAAGAGTGTGTTAGTAACGGATTCAGGTGTTTCTATCACACAGCTACTCATAACGAAGGTTTCACTGGCTGAGCGTTCATGTTGGAGCAGAGGAAGGAAAACCTTTCACCTTCTTTCCCGGTGGAAACTGCCTGATGAAGCACCCCTCTGTTCTCCTTCGGCTCAGTCAGATTTATGAGATTTTCCACCCCGAGGTTCAACATCTTCTCTATCCACACGCTGTTGCCTTCACACACAAACTGGAGAAGGCGGCAGATCTGCTGGACCTCCAGCGGGTCCTTTGCCACACTGCTGGTCATTCTGGAGTCCCTGAGAGCCTGATGAGAAATCATATGACACATCCTGATGGTCTAGAAGGAACTCTGGCATCTGTGTAGCACACAATGTTCAAAGAGTTTCTGATTCATTCATCTGTAGTTTGAAGGAAGAGAAGTTGTGTTTGTTTCCAAACCAGAACACCTGAAACAAACCGTAGATGGAGCCAGGAACTCTAACCTGGTCTTAATGAACGTTGTAAACGATTCACAAGAGAGTTTTGGAAAAAGTGGAGTCAAGGCTCTTCACCGCTTGGAGAGGCTAGAAAAAACACGGGCCCGTTTCCGGCGTACCATCTAGTATTCAACCTGCGATGCGGAGATGAGAACATCACACTCAAGAGGATGAACATCAAGAACCCGATCCCAGGAAACAACGCCAAAAAAATCATGGAAAGAACAAAGAAAGCATTAATGACAGAAAGGATACGATGCACGGTCAACAAGCTAGACAAAGTCAACATGCAAATCCAGGAGCGGAAAAAATACTTCACGCAACAATTTCCAAGCCCAGACGAAACACACCACACGCCATCAACACACACCTGAAAAACACACACCAAGAGGAATAAATAAAAACAAAAACCTGACAAATAATGAAACTGGAAAACCTCAAAAACATGACACGCAGTCTTTTACAGGCAGTAAAAAAGGAAGGAAAAAAGACGAGACAACAAACAACAAATGGGTACATAACCTGTCGGCACACACCCTATCAAAAACCGAACAGGAAGTCTAAAATCAAGGATTAAACTATGCAGTCACACCCAAACAAATACCAAAAGAAGAGTTCATTTTAGCTACAGAAATAGCATGTAAATAAATAAAATAAGAGGGGAAAAAGCAGAGCTAAGAAATGAGGTTGCAGGCATTTTGAAGGCACAGAATTACATCAAAATAAAATCACAAGAGAAGAACAAAAAGCTATAAATGCTCTAAACACACATCAGTAACGATCCTACCAGCGGACAAAGGCAGAACCACAGAAATGGACACGGAAACATGTGAACAGAAGATGGAAACAATGTGAAAGCAACACATACGCAATCATGAAAAAGACCCGACAGAAGAAAAGAAAAGAACATTAAAAACCTATTAAAACCACTAGTGGAATGCAATAAAATAAGCCAGGACGCAAATGAGGAGCAGGAGGTTTGGACCCAAGATGCAGAATTCCCAGAACGACTCAAGGCAGGAGTGGTTAAAGAAAACAATTCCTTTATTTTAAGGAGGATGCACCAAAAGTCCAAAGCACAAAGAATATCGCGTCATACCCGTGCCACAACCCGTGCACGCGCATTGGGTCCACAGCGCGCGTGTGAACGGGACTCGCGAGCGGAAATATACATGGCGAGAGGTCATTTGTGCACTGAGAGGGAGCAAACTGTGTCTGTGAGCGCACAAGGATGTGCACAAGTGACAAACCTGCGTGCGCGCGTTGTCAACGAGCACACGGCAGAGGAAAACGTGCGCGCGCGGCAGCCTCTCTGCGCGCTCGGTTTCTGACTCCTGCTCGCTCGGCTGTTAGGGCTTTTGGCACTCTGGAGGCGTGGCCTGTGGCAGATCTTCTCTGTGCTCTGATTGGTTAGTGTACCCGCACTTTACCCTCTACCTATCTATATTAAAAAGTCTGCTATTCAAGAAGTTGCTGGCATAGCTCAGCTGGAAGAGCGGGTGACTCTCCCCCTGGAGGATCCAGGTTTGAGTCCGAGTCCGGGCAAGGAAAATGCAGTAGATGTCATGTTAGCTTTTATTAATTCCAGGTATTTTACAGTTGTGACCGTTCAACTGTCGTTAAACGTCCGAAGGTTTGCTGGGCAGTGTTTTAAAAAGTGCACATAAGCTAGATGGTTTTAACCATATAAAATTACATTTTTTGTGATACTGGAAAAATACATACTGAAATAAAACTACTGATTGAAAACTTCATGACTGTGATTGTACAATATATGACTCACTAATACACTGCAAACTCCCTTAGAGTGGGGCTGAGAGAGAGAGAGAGAGAGAGAGAGAGAGAGAGAGAGAGAGAGAGAGAGAGAGAGAGAGAGAGAGAGAGAGAGAGAGAGAGAGAGAGAGATTGAAACACAGCCCACAGCCTCCACCGCTCGGCAGAGCTCGGCAGAGACCAATATATATAAATATATATAAAACAAATATAAATCATATATATGATTTATTTTTGTTACAAAACACACAATTAACTTAGAATATGTGATTATTGTTAATTTTATTTATTTATTTTAAATAAAAATTAAAAACACAGGGGAAAACTGGGAGGGCGGCGCCCTATCGCCCTCTACTGGCCAGCCGCCACTGACACCCACACTCTTCAGACCTGTTCTAGTGTGTGTGTTGGGTTGCAACGGTTCTAGATTATTCTACAATAATAGCAGATTGCATACAACTTTTTTTGGGATTTGTGAAACCTTTCCCTGATTTGTGACACTTCAACAAAAGTGGTTGCAACAAACAGACACCATTGAAAATAAGCAGAAGTGAGGAACAGAAAATGAAATTATTCTTTCAATGTTTAGATCAGCAGGAACTCTGAGAGGCTGCAGGAGCACCAGCAGTTTGCAGCCGTTGCAGGGGGGGGGGGGGTCGAAGCAGGGGAACAGTAAAAAACACCGTTGTTAAAAGAAATGTGTGTTAACTTTGAAAATGTGGGCGTAATTTTAACCCTATCAGGCTCAAATAGGTTTTGATAAAAGGACGAACAATTAAGTCTTTCAGGGGAACTTCTGAGTTAAAAATGCTCATGAAACACGTGTGTAGGGTTACCAGGTAGGTAGGGTTAACGTTGCAAATTTGCAACGCCTGCCTCCAGAAGGTTAATTACTTGTAAACATAATCACTTCACAACATAGCTGCTGATATAAGTCACTTGTAACTTTGACTCGAAAGAAAACTGTATTAGGATATAATATATTGTTGCTATATAAGTCACAGAGCGGTTTGGTTGCTGATTAAATGTTAAAATGGCTTACCGGTTGCCGCAGCTAGCCCGTTAGCTCGTCTTTAGCTAGCTTTGTCCGCGATAACGAACGTTTTCTTACTTCTTGATCGCAGCCTACTCTGCTCAGCAAGCAGAAAACAGACCTTCTCTCCACGGATGATCCCAACTGGAAAGCACAGCCGCTCACTCTGGGCGAGCCAGCGAAGGAAAACAACGTCGTCTCCATGGCAACAGAGGCCGCGCCGCTCGTGCCTGAAGTGATTTCATATTTATTCGTTGCTTACCACATGGTTTTAGATCCTGTCACGATTATCATGACTGTTTTTATCCATAAAACAAATGATATGACCGTGTCTCATAACTTTACCTAAAATACTTAATAAGAGCTTCAAAAGTCATCATTTAAACTACATGTAAGTTAACACCAGCAATACTACAGTTAACACATTTAAATGAATGAATATGATTCATGAAGATTAGACAAGAACAACAACTTAACTTCACAAACTACCGTGACCTTAAGTATGACATTGTTGTGGTATTCTACTGCTGCTGTTGAACTAAATAAAATAAAATATTTGTGATTTATTATGATTATTTTGTATCCTTTAATAATTGAATCATCTTTGTGTGGAACTAACTACCAGCCTAATTAAATAACTATGACATTTATGAGCTCATAGATAACATCAGAAACTGCCTTTTGCCTGTTTTATTTTTGTGCTTCCTCCTAAAATGATCACCACCTGAAACAACAACTGTGTTTATTCAGTTCCTCTTGACAGCATGTGAAGTCCCAGTGCCACATTTGATCTAATCTGCTTATTAAAATATTTAAAATGTTATTTTTGCATTTCAGGGCTACATGATGGAGTAGATCCAGACTCTTCTCATGCATCGTTCCACAAATGTGGAATGACCTACCAAGCACTACCAGAACAGGGGCTTCCTTTTCCATTTTCAAGAAACTCCTGAAGACCCTGCTGTTCAGAGAGCATCTTCTAAACTAGCACCCTCCCTGCCCCCCCCCCCCCCCCCCTCTACTGTCCACTCCTTGTTCCCTCCTCTCCACGACTGATGTCAAGTTGTTGTTGTTGTTAGCCTCAAGGGCAACATGCCGATTATCACTTGTAAGTCACTTTGGACAAAAGCGTCTGCTAAATACATAAATATAAACATAAATACATAAACATAAACATAAATACATAAACATAAACATAAATGAGACCACCAGGAGGAAGGTTGTTGGTTCAACCCCAGCTGCAGTCCTTCCCTGTGCATGGACAAAGATAATGGATGAAGAGGTAATGGATATTTATGTTTCAACCTTAACATGCTCTTCTGGAAACTGGGAATGAGCTCTGAGAGAGTTCAGGTTTAGTGTTTCTCAAGTCATTTTCGTTTTATCAGTGCTGGTAGTTGTGAGCACCTCTTAATGCGTGCTCCTACACACTTCCACATACTGGTCGGAGACAATCTTAGGGCTCAGATCAAACATCCCACCATAAATAGTGCACATCCTGTTCCCAACATTGTGCTTCCTAGTACAGGTAGAATTACCTGCTGTTTACTAGTAGTGCATATAGATCGTCTTACATGGCCTCTAGGTTTATTTCACTTGTGTGTGAGAAGGACTGAATGCAGAGATGCTAATCAGATCCTTCTGATAAGTAATGAATCCCCAGAATGTGGTTCAGTGACTGTTCTGATCCTGAACACAAGGTGTCACCAGAGACCTGCAAAAAGCAATGAAGTCCTCCACAGAAGAGAATAAAGTAGCCTGCCAGGGTCATGCATGGAGATCAGAAAAAGAGTTAACTCAGCTGTGAGGATTTGTGAAGACTACGAGAGCACCAGAGTAAATGAGCGGTGTACAAAGCAGTGAAGAGAACTGGCACTCGTTCTGTGATTGAATCCAACAAAAAGACATGGACAGCTGGCAATTCATCTCTCCATCCATCCATCCATCCACCATCCATCCATCCATCCATCCATCCATCCATCCATCCATCCATCCATCCATCCATCCATCCATCCATCCATCCATCCATCCATCCATACATCCATCCATCCATCCATCCATCCATCCATTGTCTGAACCTGCTTTGTCCACGTAGGGTCGCGGGGGGGCTGCACCCTATCTCCAGCGGCCAACGAGCAATCAGGCGGGGTACACCCTGGACAGAGAGCCAGTTCATGCTGGCAATCTGTATTCAATAATACTAATGATAATAATAATTTTTATTTAAGGCACCTTTGTGAGAACTCAAGGTCACCAGAGAGAAAACTGGGAAAACTAAACGTCAAAAACAAGCACAGCAGATTAACACAATCAGAACAAGCGAACAGTAAATCTAAAACAAGGATACAATTATGATTAATTACAATGAGTGAGCGATCTTGAACAGGTGAGTTTGGATTTGAAAAGGTGAACGGGAGCGGTATTCCTAAGTTCTGCCAGTAGGGAATTCCACAGGGACTGTCGAGCAGGAAGATTTTACAGGCTAACGTTAGAAGAGGGTCTGAGCATGTTGAGGGTGTAGACACGTGTAAGAGCTGAAGAGTGTATGAAGGGGTGAGGTTGTGAATGGTCTCGTACGTGCAAAGCAACATTTTGTAGCCAGTCATGAATATTAGTCTACGTAGCTTTTGGACAACAGGAAGAGTGTTTTAGTGATAAGACCAGCAGTGTTTTGCACCAGTTGCAGATAGATTATAGGAAGTACGGGCCGAGGACAGAACCTTGGGGAACTCCAGATATTAGACGATCAGGTGTGGAGGTAAACTGGTTTAAGTGAATAAATAGAGTTCTACATGAAAGGTGTGATTTGAACCAGTTAAGCAGAATAAGAAATATGAATTGAGGATAATCTATTCAGGAGGGTGTTGAGGTCATGGAGAAGGAGAAAGAGATTAAGCCTGAGTCTGCTGTCGGTTGAAGATAATTAGTGATTTTAATCAGTGATGTGGAGACAGCAGAAACCAGACTGGAAGTGATCAGTGGAGGTGTAACGCTACACTTTTTCAAGAATAATTTTTTTATGAGAGGAAGGTTAGAAATTGGTGGGAAGCTATTAAAGCTACTAGGGTCAGCTCCAGGCTTTTGCGGTGTAGAGAGGATTGTTGTCCTCTTCAGTGATGGATGAACTCTTCCAGAAAAGTGAACAAGGGAGTGAGTATTGTACAACTAATTCAATGCAAAATATTTTGCTGGAAGCCAAAGTTGTCAAGACAGGATATAAAGTCTCTGGGGCAGGCCGGGTAACAGGTAATTTTAGCAGCTGGGAATTAACTCCGAAGGACCTCAGCCTCCTCAGGAGCTGGAGGTGGCTTTGGCCCTTCTTTGGCCCTTGAACTGAAGACTTTTTCAGACAATCTATTTTGGGTTTAGGAGGATAAACACATGCTATGATGGTAAATGGCCTGTTTTAGTATAGCATCGTCTAGGATTCTACAACCCCCCAAGGCGCTTTACAACACAAACAGTCACACTGTCACACCCTGTCCTGTCTCCCCCTTCCGTTCAGTCCTGTGTCCATGTTACTTGCTCCCACCTGCCTCTCGTCTCCCAACCACCCAAGGTCCCAGCTCCTCCTGTATTTAAACCCTGTTAGTCCATTTTGTCTGGTTGGTTCATCGTTTCGTTGTCCAGCGTGTGTTCAAGATTAAAGACTCTAAACTCACTCTGGTTTGTCTGCCTGCCTGCTTCCCTCACCCGCATGCGGGTCCTTGTGTCTGCCTCACTCACCGGCACGTTGTGACACACACACACATTTACACCCTGGCGGTGATGAGCTATTTTGTAGCCACGCCTGCCCTGGAGCGCACCAACAGCAGCGAGGCTGCCAGGCACTGGCCCCACTGGTCCCGCCGACCACCCCCAGCAGGCAAGGTGGGAGAAGTGTCTTGCCCAAGGACACAACAGCAGTGACAGACTGAGCAGGACTCGATCCCACAAAACCCCAGTTGTCACGGTTTCTTATCTGCAGGTGGGAGTTTCCCTGAGCACACCTGCAGCTGCTCCCCCATCAGTCCTCCTGAGATAAAAGGAGCAGCATGATGACTTCACCTTGCTGGATGATTACATCTGGTTGGTAGAGTCTAGCCTCAGCGAAGATCCCTCTGATCTTGCTCGTAATTTTGGAAGTTTGCCTGATAATTTGTTCTCCTGTGCCTGCCAGGCTTACTCATCTCCAAACCCTCCAGAACTTCTGGGAACTCTGTTTGCCTTCATGTCCTGCTCTCAGCTGCCCACCTTCGATCTGCCCCTCACCTGCCAACCAGCTCTCCCAGTCGCTCTTCTCAGCCGCTCACCGCCCGAGTCTCCCTCCTGAAGGTCAGTCTCAACTCTTCGGGAAACCAGATTCCCATTTCTTTTCATTAAATTGTGAATACATGTGTTTAACTTGCCTTTCCTGAGTACTGGTTGATTCTGCACGTGGGTCAGAAAAGGTTATGAGGGGTACTAAACTCCTCTTCTGCTGTCGTTCCACGGTAGGACTTGAGCCAGAAAGCTGACAGACGATTGACTCAAATTTCTAGCAGATATGTGAAAAACATACAGACCCTGGCAGGCTGAGGTGACGAAAACTCAAACGTGGAACCTTTTTGCATTTCCTGCTGCACCTGAGTTCACTTTAATCAGTGATTGGCTCCTAATTTCCCTGCGGTTGACCCAGTTAAACTCTAGGCCTTTGAGACTTTTTCGGTTTTCAATGACTTCCCCACTTTGGGGCATTCATGCACTGGACTTGTGCTGCCCTAACTCTCAAAGGATTTAAACTATTTTTGAAGTTCTAGTAGTTTTGTGACCTTTATTCTTCTCAGTGGCCTAGTGGTTAAGGGTCCCCCCAGAGACTGGGAGGTCAGGGTTCAAATCCATGGACTTTAAAAATCAATTCAGTTTATTAATATAGAGTCACGACAAGAGTCGTCTCAAGGCCCTTCACAAAGTAAAGAAGCTCTGGAATGAGCTGCTGGCCGACGGGAAGCAGGCCCAGTCCCTCGATAGCTTCAAGTGCCGACTAGACGCGTCTGTTCTCGCTGGCGTTTAGGCACTGAGGTCGGGATTAGGTGGGCAGTTTCACTCTGATAATTTATCTAATCTGACTGCGATAACAAGACGGTCTGGATTGCTAAAACTGAACTTGGGATTTTTGTATGGGCCTGTAATGGTTTTAATGGTTTTATGTATAATCTGTTTTTATTGCTGTGATTTTATTGGTCTACAGCGCTTTGTTTGTCCTTTTGGACACATGAAAGCGCTTTATTAATAAAGTTGATTCGATTTGAAACATTCCAATACAGGTCAGCTCATTAACCCAGCAGGTTGCATCAAGTCACTGACTAGTGTCAAGAGTCTTTACAGCAATCCTCATACTAAGCAAGCATGCAGCGACAGTAGAGAGGAAAACTCCCTTTTAACAGGAAGAAACCTCCAGAGAATCCTGGCTCAGTATAAGCAGCCATCCTCCACGACTCACTGGGGATGGAGAAGACAGAGCACACACACACACACACACACACACACACACACACACACACACACACACACACACACACACACACACACACACACACACACACACACACACACACACACACACACACACACACACACACACACACACACACACACACACACACACACACACACACACACACACACACACACACACACACACACACACACGGATGCATGTGATGATGAATAACGGGAGTTTAACTTTAGACATCACATGTTCATGAGTTCTTTTCATCAAGCCCTTCTCACGTAAAGCTATTTCAGCAGCTTGAAGTTTTTAGCACCTTCCAGAATGAGCCATTTTAGGGATCCGTCACTTTAAGGAAACACACTGTTGCTTTCCACACCCATCCATCCCCTGATAGGCTGCTATTGGCTGAGGAACATGGAGGTCTGGGAGGGGCTTGGAGTAGAGCTGTTACTCATCCAGTGTTGGTAGGTTGAGGGGGTGTTCCATTTTCCTTGGTTTGACATGATTTTTTAAAACGGTTTGTTTTAGGTACATAATTCCTATTTACTGACATGAACAGACTGTTTTATTCATGTTTATAGCAGCAGTGGAGATCCACATGCAGCACAAACGAATGCAAGAGCATAAAAAGTCCCTTCTTATAAATAAAAAACATCCTGCCAGTGTTGTGTGCTGCAGCTTAAATGAGATGAGAATTTGTCTGGAAATCCACAATTTCTAAAGTTGAAATAACTAAATTCCTCATTTTTGACAATGGGAAACACAAATATGGCTACAGCTTATCCTAAACCACTGACACGGAGCTGAAATGTGACAGGTTTCAGCCATTCCCAGCACACAGACTTGACCACACCTCCCCAGTTCTCAACACAACACACACTTGGGTTTGTTTCGGACCAGGCTGGATGTTATGATGATGCACTGGTTCTCCATCTCCTCACGGGTCACAAGACCTTGTTGATGAAAAGCTTTGCTAAACAAACACCATCGCAGCCACGGGGTTGTCGTGGGCAACTCGTTTCAGTTTAGTCACAAAGTGCGACGAGTGCAAAACTCCAGTAAGGAAGTAGTTAATAAAATGATTATGAATGTTCGTGATTTGTTGTTAGGCTAAAAACTCACGTCTGATTTTCCTTTTGTTTCAGGTTTGTGCACAAATGAGCTCTACCATCACCCTCCTGTCTGGTCTTGTGAAGGAATAACTACCTAGTGACCCGAAGATCATTTACAGGTGAGACCTGGTGCAAAAGTTCATCTTTGTCATGAATCCAACCTAAAAGGTGAAACTAGACTCGTGCAAAGCCAGATGTTTCCGCCTTTATTTGTTATAACTGTGGTGATTATGGCTTACAGCGGATGAAAACCCCACGTTCAATAACCTAGACTCAGTTTCACTCTAATCAGCTGATGAATCCAGAACACCTGCAAAGGGTTCCTGCACCTTTAGATGGTCTCTCAGTCAGATTACTGCTGATTACTAACATTAATGGACCGTATTCCTGTTTTTGAGTTTCACTTATTCTCACAAAAATATGATGGAGTTTTGTTGTTTCCAGACAAAAATGAGGAGGGCTGTGCAGACGAGGACCACGTCGTATCCTGAGCTGGACCCAGCCAAGGCGAGCCAGCGTGGACTAAATCCACAAATGCATTTTCCTGAGACGCATTTTAAAATCTGTTTCTGTGTTAAAAAAAAGTGAATCTAAAACCTCCAGGCTGAGGAGGTCCTAATTCAGCCATGAAAGGGTTAACTGCACATCCATCTCATATGTTGGTTTTATAGCAGACATTTGACTTCATTATTTATCATGTGAACCTTTTACAGACGTCTATGGTAGTAAATGTTTGACTTATTAGGCCCACTTGAGTCCCCTTTGTCTCAAGATGTCCCTTATTTGGACAGCATTGTCCCCCTTCCTGCCCTCAGCCCATCCTTCATGTGTCTGTGCACAGCCAATCTCCTAAAATGGTCTTGTTGGGCTGCTAGTGTGATTTATAAAATCTGGTGGTTTCTCTCAACTGTCGGTGACGTCATCTTGAGCTTTTCCTCCTCTAAAGAATAGTGGTTTGGACCTGGTCTTCTCCACATTTCTTCCTAGACAACTGGTGCTCAGCGTCAGGTTCTGGTGGTCAAAATGAAATGGTGAGTAATTCAAAAATAAACCACCTCAGCACAGAAAGGGGAGGAGCCTGTGACTCTATGATGGTGATGGTGGACAGCACACATAAATAAAACCAAATCTCTTATCTTGTTCCCTAACCTAAGCTGAGAGCACGGCATGAACATATGGAAGTAAACAATAATCCTGAAGTGGCTTTTTCTCCTCCACAGAAGAGATGTGAAAGAATAAAAATCTTTTCATACAAAAATGTTTCCTTAAAGCCGTGAACGTCGAACAAATGTGGTTCAAAAACATGTTTTTGTCTTTCTTTAGCTGGATAGATCCAGTCCGTTTGTCAGCTTCTTCTGCTGTCGGTGTCCTTTCTCTCAGTCCACAGGAAGAGGCACTGATAGAAACCGAGTATTCCCATCAGACAGTCTGGTACAGAAGCATTCCACTGAAGAAGGTCAAAGGTTCTGAAGAGTAGGCCAGCTGGCCCGTCACCAGGTCGATGAAGACCGTGTCCCCTGCCTCCAAGGGCAGGATGATGTTAAAGACCGCCACGGCTCCGGGGATGTGCTTGGCCTCTGCCATGGGCTTCTCCAGACCTTCAGGCTGATATCCCGCCGAGTCCACTCGGGCTACACCCACGTTGGACTTGGACAGCACCGCCTCAATCTTCATGTTTTTGTGACCCGTCAGGATGCCACTGAAGAAGTACTTTCCGCTCACAGGAGCTGTGAAGATGCCTGGAGAGCAACGGAGGGGTGAGAATAAATGCTTATGTTGGACCTTCTCAGGTGAACAAAAGGTTCAAAGGCCAGATTAGTTTCATTAGAACGTTATTTATAATGTTTTTGCCTGTTCTGATAACTCATGAGCCGTGAGACCAACAGTCATTGTGTTCCTCTACAAGGGACTGAGTTATGGAGTTGATCCGATTAAAGATGGCCGACACAGCTACTCAGCATTAGCAAACACAAAAATGTCCCAAAGCCAGTTAATTCTATGGATAATGATTCTATTTTCAAGATGCTAGTAGAGCCGTTCACAGCAAATCAGGCATTGTTGTTTTTAGGATTTGACCAACATGGCTCGTCTCTAACCCTAACCCCCGACGGGTTTCACCACCAAGCTTCTGTTTTGAGACATTTCCCAGGACTCCAACGGGCCTCGCTCACATGTCGTTGGATCTTTGAACGTGTTTAATAATTAAAATGCAAATTTCCTCTAGCTTTGTTTGTATAGTACATTTCTAACACAACGGCAATTCAAAGTGCTTTTATTGTTCGTAATGATCACAATGCCATCGTCTGCGTTTGTCCCGGTTTAGTCTCTAAATCAGAAAGTCTGAGACTCTGAGAGGGCTTGGTGACCAGCCTGCTAATAAACTGAGAGGAAACTGTAAACAAAAACAGCAGGGATAGGGTTGGTGAGTAAACAGAAACATGAAAACTGTCACAAAATATTTGCAGTTATGTCACACCCTTCATGTAAGCAAGCCAGATGTGTCGAAGCGTGCCCGGTATCAAGGAAGACATTGTTTTTGTGAAGCGCGTATCGAGGCTTGTGTTGATTACTTAAGCAGTGACACTCGAGGCCTCGTTGGCAGTCCCTACCATGTGACCGATTCAAAAGCTGGCTTGCCGGTTTGCGGCGGATTCAGAATAGGAGGGGCAGCCAAACACCGCTGATCCCCGTCACACTGTGCTGTGGAAGCCCCGTGTCCTGTCAGCGTCCTGTCTCCTCTGGACCAGACAGTATATTAAAAGGGCAGTTAGACATTATCAAGAATATATTGCTATCATAAGCATTTATTTTTTCTGTTAAAGGTTTATGGTTTTACTTGAATCGTCCACTTGATGGCACTATAGAGCAAATGATTCATCGAGTCAAGAGTCGACCAGTTGGATGGAACGCTTCAGCTCACCAGTTAAAGCCTCAGGCAAACATGTCCCGAGTACCAATCAATGTGATTTCAACCAAACCTGAACTATTTTCTGACTGTTTTGATTCTCCAGCGAGTCAAAGCTGTAAACTGACCCCGCGGCTTTGGTTTAAACCTCTGGCAGCAAATATCCACGACGCTGTCTCAGCCAGATGTTACCGGCTGAGACGACTCACCGCATCTTTACAGCAGAACTCTAGTGAGAGTGGCTGACTACCAGACATCCTGCTTCCTCCGGGCCACTTCACATACCACAGGCTCGTCCCTTACACGTGTGAGCAATGCTGCCGTCGCCTTGGGCACATTTCTGATTCGAGGCACACAGGCTACGGTAACAGCGTTCAATTCCTTATTAACAGATTCATCAAGTTTCCTTGGCAGGAGCATTTCTCATTGCCATCCTTGGTTTGAGACCGAAAGAGTTCAACTCTTTAATTCACCAAAACAAAGCTCTGGTTTGTATTTATGTCCATCAGGAAGGCTCAAGTCGTTTTTGGAGGTTTTTTTTAAATTCTTTTTCTTTTTCACCTTTCTGTAAAATCCTCTCGTTATTAACAAGCTTGCAAGTGAACCTAACTTGACAAACATCTGTATTAAATCCCGACCCAGTGAAACACACCTGTGTTTGGATCATAGACATCGTTTTCATTCACAAAGACCTTGTTGAACTTTATGGTTTCAGACTTCTTCACCGGGCGAGTCAGAGCAGCGGAGAAAGAAAGGCGTGGCACATGAGCGTCAGATCCTGGAGGACCTAATAACAGAGCAGTAATGGAGCTTTGGTAAGAATTAAAGACCAGCGAGTGACACGGCTTTTATCTGTGGTTTAGGAAGAGCAGCACGTACCTTGTACGCCTCTAAGACCTGAAAAACAAAGATAAAAACAATAAGTTCCACACAACATTACGCTTCTGATCTGATCTCATCTATTGGATCAGGGTCCTGTTAGGGCCTGGTACCTGATTAGGACACTCAGCAGTTGTCCTTTAATCTGGACCAAATCAAGGCAATCCCAAGACCAACAACCTTCATTCAACATGAATTTACTGTTAATTCTGGGTTTAATTGTGTAACTGAAGTTGGTCAGAACACTGCAAAACCTGCCTCCAGTCAATGTTTTAGCTGAACTCATAAACATCGTTGGCTCCAACTCACCAGCTAGTGTTTGAGTCCTGGTAATGTGTGGTTCTTGTTTACAAGTTTAAAGACCAAGTTCACTTGTTTCTTCAACACAGCTTCAGTGGTCTCTAGTATAAATGAAGGTCTTGTGAGATGATCTCAGTGAGAAAAACGCTCTAGCGCTCCTGATTCAGGAAGACGTTGTTAGCAAGAGAAGAGGGGGCTAAAGACCATAGACATGAATACACAGACATGCCATTGGGCGCCGCAGAGCATAACAGTATCGCCGCCATATTGGATGGGTTATTAACTAGTTATACGCTACTGGAGTCTAATCAGAGTGAGCAACAATGCCCGTTTTTTGTGCGGCCTACGGCTGCAACAACCAACATTCTATTGAAAACAGATGTAGTGGAATGACCTTTCTAGCCTACCTGATGGGATTTAATATTTAATTACATTGAATTATTTGTATATTTTAATGATCATGCCATACCATGTCTCTGGTTTTGTGAAAAATCATAATAAAATGTGTATTTATTGTGTTTTGTATGGTGTTGGATGGATGGATGGATGGATGGATGGATGGATGGATGGATGAGTGTGGGTGTGTGAGCAGAAATAAATGCACTGGGAGCAATCAGAGACGCATCCTTGGTGGCGGCCAACCACTACGCCAGCTCCAATAGGCAACACAAGTCCACGTCGTGCTTATGTTTATGATGTCTGTGCTAATGACGACAGGGTTTGGAGTCTTACTTCTTCATATTTGGACATCTCTCCTCTGATTGGCTAACAGCAACGTGACACCACTGACTCTGTTTGTTCTGAAACGTTGATCTTTTATCTCAGCACAAGCCTGGAGGAGCCCTGCTGTGTGGTGGAGATGATTATACTAACAGTTAGCTTCTACTAGCTGATATGTTCTCTGCCATTTCCTAGATGCTAACCCAACAACAGCCTTCCCCATCGTGAGTCAAGATGGGTGAGTCCATGAATGTTCAGTGACAGTGTGATGTAGATCTGTCAGGATTTTCTAATCCTAGAGTTCCACCATCTGTTTTTCTATTCAAGTTTATTTATAAAGCGCCAAATCACGACAAGAGTCGTCTCAAGGCACTTCACATAATAAACATTCCAATACAGGTCAGTTCATTAAGCCAATCAGAAAAAAGTCCAAAATAAGGAACCCATCAGAAGCTAATGCAGGAGATAGGTGTAGGAGACTATTTTCATGTTCAGCCTGCATGAAAAACTCTGACCAATCAAAACAACAAATAAAAAGTGTTTTCTCAGTGAACTTGGTCTTTAGGAAACACCGATCGGAGCTCAATAATAACCCTCACAAACACGACTGTCGTGTAGAGCGGTGTTTATAAAACAGACAGACAGGAGGCCACGCCCTGCATGTGGTCTACGTAGATAAAGTGTCTCGCTACACTGCGATCCTCTAAAGATACGCACAGGAACTCGTTCATGATCTTGTGGTTTCCTAATCTGGTCATGTGACCTACATTCTTGTATTTTCTGTGGTTTTATCAGGCTTGTTTTATTATGCTTTAGTATTTTGTAGCATTTTGGGTGGTTTAAAAAGTGTGTTTATAAAACAAGTAAAGATTTAAAGGAAATTCTGCATCTATCAGTTTGGGACTCTGCTATTTAATCTTAGCAACAATTCCCAGTTCTTGAGTACAACTTCAATGCTACTGTCTTTAGTTCCTCGTTACCTGCGGGTCCTACTTGTCCACTCTTGCCTTCTCTGCCTGGGGGTCCCGCCCTCCCCTGGGGCCCAGCAGGACCCTGTGGTCCCGGCTCGCCTCTTTCTCCTCGAGGCCCTGGTGGACCTGGAGAAAGGGGGACATTTAGAGAAAGCACAGCTAAGAAACACTTAACTTGAATTCCTCTTCCCCAGTGATATTATCTCTCAGAAGAATTCCAAAAACACATGCATGAAGCCAAGAAAGCCGGTACTCGTGTTTACTGAAACCTCGCCTTTATAGGCTTTTAAGAAGATCCTGTCAAACATGACAGCCTGGATTCTTTCATTCGTCTCTTTTTAACACCATGTCTTCCATCAAACGCCTGCTTTCATCTGACCCCTGTCCCCTTAACTCACCACTAAAGTCCTGCTCCAAAAAGACTTGGAACCTCCTTCCCAGATCCAGCACTGAGGAGTTCAGCTGATGCATCCCGGAGTGGACGCGCTCCAGCTGGACCTTCTGGATACTCTCAATCAGATCTCCGTGAGACGCGACGGTTGCATTGATCCCATTAACGCAGCTCCACAGGCCGGACACGTGCCTGTTCAGGCCTTCTTTGATCCTTTCTAGGCTATTTGAAAAGGAATCCATGCGGACACACACTCCCTCCAACTTGGATATTCTCTGGTCCAGTCCGTCACGGGACCGGCGGCACTCCCTCACCTCTGTTGCATAGTTGTTTCTAATAATTTGGATCTCTTTGTCCAGATTTCCAAACTGGTTCTTCGTGTCATCGATGTGATCCGCCAGCTCATTCTGTAGGTCTGTCACCTTAAAGATACGAAGAAAACCAGTTTATTCTACAGTTTTATGCCACAAATGCCTTCCTCAGATCTGTTTCTTGTTTATCTTTGTTACAGTCTGTGCAACATCTGGAAGTCCTACCTGGTCAGGAGCTGTCTCGTGTTTGTTATCGACACTAATAACTAAGAATCAGATGTAAACATGTTGAAGTAATGTTTGTGACATTTTGGAGATCTAAACCCTTCTAGATCCTCAGCTGGGTTACAGAAGCTGGCAGTCCTCAAATAAAAGCCATTTCTACTCCGAGCACTATCTAGAACAGGCAAGAGTCATTATTTATAACTTTAATGTAAAAGCTCACTTTAAACTAATTATTAGTTCATTAAAGTATTTCCCCATTACAGTGGTTTTAGATGGAACCTTCAAGCTCCAGGTGCTGTAGCTGAGCTGCTCTGATGCTTTTAAACTACGTTTGACTCAGATGATCAAACGCGTTTATTTAGCTAATTATAGAAATCTGAGCTCTGACTGGACACAGACTTGTTCAGCTCATCAAATGAAGGAAAAGCTGTACGTTTATTTATTAATAACTGCATAAATACTCAGTGTGGTGACTAAGGAGCACAACTGAGATGGAGCATTTGGTTTAATTCACAGTGACAGAGTTTTAAGGAGGAAACCGAGAGCTCGTTGGAGGTCGTGTCATGGTTTGGACCCAGTCTTCTGTAACAAGGTCGGAACACTGGTCTATGAAAAAAGTGGAACAAAGTAATATGCATGTGCAAAAAAGGACCAAATAGTAATGTTTCATAAGAACATGCCCACTGGCTGATTAGCTTTGCTAATTTTGACCAACAGCAGCCATCTTTTAAACAGCGCTCAATGAAAACATCGGACATTTAAATTTCCACCCCACTGGGTTATTGGGGAGCGTTCTTTCTCTACTCTTTAAAACTCGGTTACTGTTTTACTCCCCTAACGTTGTATGAAATGATTTGGGGCTGCGGATAGAAAATTGAAAGCATGTGCTCACATGTGGACTGTAACAGAATGAACACACTGCAGCTGAACAGTTTCATAAATGATCCGTAATTCTCAAATGTCTGCTAAAGCAATCAGATGTTTTTCCTGAAACACTGTCAACGGTCACCCTGCAGATCAGGGTGCTCCTAAAGTTCTTAAGCTTCATCACATAGATCATTTACCATAGGGTTAGGGTTAGGTATTAGTATGAGTATATCAGTATTACAGCTGATATACTCATAGGCTGATAGGCTGATAGGCTCCGGTGCGCCTGCTTCAGGAAGTAGAAGCGAGCCACATCACAGCTGAGCTGCAAACGACAGCATTTGGACTCTTATTTCCAGACTGTTGGACATCTCCTCTGACTAACAGCAACACGACTCTACCACTGACTGTCTGCTCTGCAACGTCGATAATACAAACCTGGAGGAGTTCTGCTGTGTGGTGGGGTTGCTAATGCTAAGGGTTAGCTTCTACCAGCCGAGACGTTCTCTGCTGCTTCCTGGGGGCTAAACAAACAAACAGCCTTCCCTGCCGTGACTCAAGAGGGGTGAGTCCATGAATGTTAAGTGACAGGGTGACGTAGATCTGTCAGGATTTTCTGATCCTAGAGTTTCACCGTTTCATCTCTATCAGAAGCTACTGCAGGAGATAGGTGTAGGAGACTATCTTCCTGTTGGCTAGGGTGTTTGGTTTCACAGCTGTGTAATGTTCCTACCAGCTTACCACAGAGACTGTGTTGTCCTTCTGGTTAGTTAGATCTGCCAGTGCGCCTCCATGTGAGTGTAAAGTCTGGCCCAGGTCTCTTAAAGTTTTATTAATGGAATTAAAGGAGACGATGACCTCAGACAGTTCTCCTTGGATCGACTTTAGATCGTCCCCTAACCGTCCACTGTGGACATGATGACCATCCAGGCGTTTCTCCAGGTCATTGATATTGATCTTGCACTGTCCCGTACATTCCTCCACGTCCTCTCGGAGCCGCCCCACCTCCTCCTGGAGGTTAGAGCAGACCTGTGAGCAGACGGACTCTCCAGAGTCCACCTTTCTTCTCAGGTCCGTCAGTTCCTTCTGACACCTGTGGAGACTGGTCGTGGTGGCGTTGGTAAACAATTGTAGGTCCTGTTCCACTTTGCTGCAAATCAAGCAGTCCTCAAAGTCCCTGCCCAACATTTCCACCTCTGTGACGATCCGGTTAAAGTTCTCCCCATTCTCCCCGGTCACAGATACGATCTTTTTGACGTCATTGGTTAGGTCAATAACTCTATCAATCAGAGAGTCTCCTGTCACAGACAAGTTCTTCAGAGTGCTGTTGAGCCTCTTGATGTCCCCTTGATTGGTCACAACCCTCCATTCCAAGGTTTTCACAGTATCATCGGTCACCTTTCCCTTTGCTCTACCCCCACAGGTCTCATTGCACATGTTGGTTGTTGACGTTAACCTTCTGTCAAGGTTAGAAGTGATGTTCTCCAGCTGACCTAAACGTCGGCTATGGTCTGTAATGGTGTCTCCCAGAACAGACACTTCCAATTCTAGTTTTCCAATCTTGAACATGTGGTCATCCAGCTGGCTGAGAACCATGTTGCGCAGCTGAGTGAAGTCCCTCTGGACCGTGTCTTTGACGTTGTTTCCTGTGTTGGTACATCTCTGCTCCGTCTTCCTGACTGTGTTGTTCACCTTCTTCTCCAATTCTCTCAGCCTGCTGTTGAAGCGCTCCTCGGTTACCCTTCCCTTTCCTCCGCCTGTGCCAGCTAGCTCTTTATCCAGACGTCCTTTGATGGTGTCGCACTTGTTTGAAGTAAACTTCAGACGACTGTCTACGTCAGACAGTCTTTCCTCCAGCTCTGTCACCGTACTGCAGCATGCCTGGGAGCGCTCAATTTCCTGACGTGAGATTTCCCAACTCTGGGCGAAGTGCTGGTTTATAGAGTTGATCCTCTTCTCGAGGGCATTGATCCTGTCCCTGTCCTCAGCCTGCTGCCGTCTCAGGTCATCTACACCAATCTGGAAGGGAACACCAATGTTCTGAATACATCAGTCATGTGGAGTGAAGACTAAAATGCACTAGGACACATTAAAAATAGTACCAAGGTGGGTATGAGTTGGTGTCTCTAGGTTTGTTTATAGTGGTGAAAAGTCCATTATGTCAGCTCAGACTGAGAAACCGTCTACAGGCTCAGAGACCCTCTGCAGGTGTTCTGGATTCATTAGCTGTGAGAGTGACACTATGAGTCTAGAATATTGTACCTTTTCACAATAATCTGAATGTCTGAGACTGTGAATGTGAGGTACGCCATGATCATCACAGTTCTAACAAATAACGGCTGAAACATCTGGATTTGCGTGGAATGAGTGTCTCCTGGATTAGTTTCACCTTTTAGGCTGAAATATTGACAGGAATGAACTTTTGCACCACATTCAGATTGTGTTTACGACAGCTGACCTGCACCTTTCACTGAACAATAGTATAAACTAAACTTGTTTTTGGTTTTTTTGCCACCTAGACACCTTTACCTGGCAGGCAGAACAAGACAGAGAGACTCTGTTCTCCAGCTCGGTCAGGACGTCCTCCTTCAGGGTGTTCAGCTGGTTCCCTCCTCCTCCTCTCCCAGATGACCCATCCAGTTCGTTGCCTCTTCCATTCACCAGGTGGTTGTTGATAGTAAGCAGAGTCTGGTCATGGACCTGAACAGCGTAATGAATGTGATGAAATATTAAACAATTCAAGTCAGAGTTCTGAAAAGCCGAGCCCTCTGCAGAGGGGTTAGGGTTAGGGTTAGGGTTACCCTAACCCTAACCCTCGATCAATACCTGATGAAGCCATACGAAAAGGTTCATTTGCACCATTATGGTTGCTTTTTGGAGTCTGACTGGACCGTTGCAAATGTTTCCCAGTGGTTCTGTTGTAGATCTGCTGCTGTGTTTGGATCACGGTTCTGTTTATGACCCAGTTTGATCCAAGCCTCAGCTGTAGGACAAACTCCAGAAGACTTAGGTCTACAGAAGGGTTCGTGAGGACCATAAGGAGCCCAAGTCCAGTCTACCCAATCATGAATGTAAGATTTCAGACGGACTGAGACGATACCTTCATCACTGAAGATAAAGCCCCAGTACTCCTGAGAAAACAGACCCCTTCATGTCTTTTTGGACCAGATGACTGAATTTTTGCCCATTCATTAATCATTTTAAATCCTCCTTTTTCCATTGCCTTTATGCTCTTTATAGTTCCTTATTTTGCCAAATGTATTGGAACACCCCACCAGTCAGTGCAATTCCAGTAAAAACGTCGAGTGAGTTTTGTGTGGAGGAACCTGACAAGCCTGCAGACCATTTTTTCTCTTCAGAGGTAATTTGATAAGATACGAAACATTTCATTTGTAAACAGAGTAAAAACCTGACATAGAGAAGCTGTGATACCCAGATACCTCCTTTCCAACCATGTGTACTACCTGTGTTCTGTTGTAGAGATGATCCAGTTTGGTCTGGATGCTGCTGATGGTTTCTTTCATGTGTGGCTGAGCTGAATCTGCAGCTATCGTGGCCCCGCTCAGGCCATTCCTGGAAAAAGGGGGTAAAGAATTTGTCCAAGACTCTGTTTTATCTACTGGAATAAACACCAACCTCAGGGTTTCACTACAGCGTTTTGTAAACAAGAAGTGAATCTGATGGTAAACAAAAGGTATATTAGAACTAATAATGCACCAGTCATCTGCATAAATAGTCACAAACAGGAAGTCATGTACTATCTACTGGACGTTTGTTTACTGTGTGGTGCACGAAAGCCAGCTCAAGTGTTTCCTGGACTCGTTTAAACAAAGCTTCAGTCTGCAGATGAACACGCTTCACGCAGGAAGACAAGACATCCACGTACAGTCTTTGGTTTATGCCATGAATGCTGGTGTGCATGTTGTCCAGATCTTTGGTCAGAACACGGATTCTGTCCTCCAGCTGCCGGATTCGGTCCGTGTCACCTTGGAAAATAGAAAAGGGATTATATTTAGAAAATATCTGCGTACTAAGTTTGTAGTTTAGTTTTAAGTTTATTGAAGAAAACGTTCTGGACTTTGATGAAAGCCAGGACTAAAACCCTTCCATAGTTCCTGAAAACGCCAGCTTCACAACTTTACTCGTCCGTATGAGGGTTGAGTTACTATATGAAGTGAGATTAGAGTCAGTCTAGCATTCAAGCAGCAGACAACAGAACAAAACTTGCGTCCATCATCCGTCACCCACTGACCTGAGTCCGGGCGGGGTAGCAGCTACAGCAAAGAGGGCCCAGCCTCCCTTTCATCGGCTACCTCCACCTGCTCTACCAGCAGGATCTTCAGGCATTTCCTGGCCAACATGGAGGTATAATCCCTCCATCCTGGCCTAGGTCAACCCAGGAGCCTACAGCAGGCAGGAGATGTCTTCCCTTAAACACCTCCCCAAGGGGGGCAGGGGGCACCAGGAGTAATTCTCACCGCCACTGCAGGTGCTGCCTCGATCCATCTGCCAGTCTCCTGCTCCCTTCATCCATCACTTTTCATCAAGACCCTGAGACCCTTAAAACTCCCTCATGTGAGGCAGGACCTCTGCCACACCTGGAGTTAGCAATCCACCCTTTTCTAGTTAAGAGCCATAGACTTGTAGGACTTGATCTTCATCCCAGCCGCTTTACACTCGGCTGTTTCTGGAGACCCACAGAACAACCATGTAGTCCTCCTCCAGCCTGACTGCTCCCCTAACATCTGGTGTCCACCAGTGAGTCTGGGGGTTACCGCTTCAAACAGAACCAGCATCTGTGCCCATTTAGACTCAACAGCCCCCGCTGCTCTGAAAACGTGGTCAACGCTCTGCTAGAGGCGGGAGTCGAAGGCCATCTTCTTCCGCCAGGCGTTTCCAGCAAACCCTCGCTCTACGTTTAGGCCTAGCAGGTCCACGTGGTGTCCTCCCCGCCATCTGATCCATCTCACCACCAGGTGATTCTCATCTGAGAGCTGTGCTCCTCTCCACTCCAGTGTTTACAACATATGGCCACAGGTCAGATAACACAACTACAAAGTCAATCGTTGACCTGAAACCTCGGCTGCCCTGCTCCAGCTTGTACTGATTAGCATCCTTATGTTCGAACATGATGTTGGTTATGGCCAACAGAGGTCAAATTAAACGCTTGGGGTCGGGTCAGGTGGGCTGTTCCTCCCTATCACGCTCTTCCAGGTCGCACTGTCAGGTGGTCATTGGAGCAGGACTATGGAACTCCCATTGGGAGCTGCATCTAGCACCATCCCACTGCCTCCAAGGGGGCGGGTACTCCGAGCTGCTGCTTACTTCACTAACAACAGTCTGGGCCCATTCCCTACATGAGAAATTCTATGAAAGTCCAACACAATAAAAGTATCACAAAACTCATTGTGAGCCGGCACACGATGACTCACAGTGATCTATTGTTCCACTGGCTCTTGGAAACAACATCTGAGAGAGTGTGCAAGGAGCATGGAGGCCAGCTGGCTCGAATCCAGCATCAACATAGAAAAACACATTCCATCAATTTGATCCCACAAAAGATGAATAAAGACACAAAGCTGACACTTCCGGGACATATTGTAGTAGCGCTGCACGGTAAAATGAAAGCTTTCTATATCTCCAGATAAACTTGTGAGAAACGTGCTTCAATATGAAGGAAAGGTGAGTAGCCAGGTCAGTTCAGTCTGCTGGAGGTCATTAGGCTACTCGATGTCCGACAATAATCTCTAAAGATGTTTTGAGTTCATTTCTGTTATGGTCATTCGTTTCATTCATTTATGACGTTAGTCATGAAGGTGTAGCTCCTCCTACCTTCTCCGCCGTTCTGTCCTCCCCTGGTGTTTACTGTCGTCTGAGTTTGTCCCCCATTGATACGGGTGTCAGGGGTCGCCTGTGGCCCCTGGTGGCAGTCCTCCCCCGAGTAACCATGGCAACACTTCCACTCCATTTCTGTGACCATCTTGTAAGCTATCTTGTACCTCGGTCTCCTGTAGGTCCGGTACCTGAAGGTGACACAGACATACATCACAGTTTCAGTTATTCAAACTAGGAATATTTAGCATTAAAAATGATGACATATATTTTTGTACATAAACCTAGATTAGTTCTAATCTAACCGATACGTCCCTCATATGCATTTGATGCCACGGAGGGAGAATTGTAGCATTAAATGGAAGTGATGAGATTTACAGGAACCATTAGTTTACACCAAAGTGAAGACTGTTCTGCCTCGGGTACACGTTTAAAAGTACACGCAGTATACCAAAAGTATTACACATGACAAAAGATATGAACAAACATAACAATTCATACATTTCAAAATGTTTTACTGTAATAATAGTTCAGGTTCCAAATCAAATACTAAAGGACTGTAAATGATAATTTTAGGGATTTTCTCACTGTAAAATTCTTCCTATATTCTTACATACTGCATCTTTAAAATGATGTGTCCCCAGCAGGTTTTAAGCCACAGTCACATTTATGTATGTTGTCCTCTCCTGTTTATTAAACAAACTGATGCCCTTTCCAGCGTGCTCTCTGTGATTAACGCTTCTCTGGTTTCTGGTCAGGTCCCTGCTTACTTTAACCCCAAAAATTCCACTATCTCCGCTCCGCTCCGGCACGAACTCCGCAGCAAAAACGGTCCCGTTGTAGTCAATCAGAGCTGTTCCACTACTGCGGCCGTTCCGCCATCCGGCAAAAATAGAATCGATCCCATTTTTGCCGGACGCCGGAGCACCTCCGCAGTAAATGGACAGAAATCACAACCGCCCAACAGGAAAAGGAGCAAGCACAACTTCCGTTATTTCACAATAAATCGATAAACAAAAGGCGTTTTTTGTTTCATATGCACAGGTTTAACAACTTTTAACAACTATCAATGGCGGCTGAAGTTTAAATGCACAAAAATAAGCCATAAATACAGTTTCTACTATCAAAGTAGTCACACTTTGTTGATCCAAACACTGCTGATCTCTCAACACGAATGATGGCAGATTAAACAGTTCATGCCGATGCTTCTCCCACACAACGGGTGTTTGGATCTAACTTCCGCGTTTATTGCTTGGACTGTATCGCAAGATCTCGAAAATCCCGCTCATGCTTGTTTGCGCACCTCAGGTCTCCGCACCGGAGCGGAGCCGTTGTAGAGCGGGTACCAGTAAACATTGAGTTCGGAAGCGAGCGGCAGCGGAAAGCGGGGGCGGACCGGAGAAAGTGGAATTTTGGGGTAAGAACGCTGTAATCCACCAACTTCTTAAAAAACCGAGTCTCGACCCCTCTCTCCATAGCAGCTTCAGACCCATCTCTAAACTTCCGTTCATCTCCAAGATCTTGGAAAAGGTTGTGGCTAAACAACTCACAGCTGCTCTTGATGAACATAACATCTATGATAGCTTCCAGTCAGGTTTTCGTAGAGCTCATTCTACTGAAGCAGCTCTTCTTAGGGTCTCTAATGACCTTCTGACCCACAGTGATGCAGGGGACGGTTCTGTTCTGGTCCTGCTGGACCTGACTGCAGCCTTTGACACTGTTGACCATCACCTGCTACTGGAGAGGCTGAGAGACTGGGTAGGCCTATCAGGATCTGCTCTGGAGTGGTTCTCCTCTCATCTCTCTGAGCGCCCCTTTTCTGTGGCCGTCTCCAAGTTTAGGTCCTCCACCACCTCCCTTACCCATGGTGTCCCACAAGGTTCTGTGCTGGGTCCTCTGCTCTTCCTCCTCTATCTGCTTCCTCTTCAGCACATCCTGAGCTCCTTCAAAGGAATCTCCTACCATCTTTATGCAGATGACATCCAACTGTACATCTCCTTTAAGCCCCATGAGATGTCTAAGCTGCCCAAAAGGGCCAATCTGAGATGATGCCTTTCACTGACTTCCCCATAGAAGGTTCTAACCTTTAAAAAGTACCACAAACTGCTTTAGTGACATCTTCAACAATGACCCGTATCTGTTCATAAACCCGGCTCTGATTCCCCAAACCTTTATATCTGTGTGCCCAGGGTTCAATGTTGGGAAATGGCTTCATATCAGTATGCATGATTTATGGGGTTATGAGTGCTTTGATGAACTTTAATATTATTTCTGTCTCTTGCTACTCCTGAAAACCAGTGAGCTGAGTGCCAAAGAGGAAAAATCTCTGATGCAGTTTAGTTGTTAATGTGTCTTTCAGCTGTGTCTGAACCACCCCCTGCTGCAGTAACAATGTAATAAATAAAACAGAGTTGGCTAAAAATGGCATCACAGTTCTTGCAGTGAACCTTGTGGATTTTTTAATCGAACTACAAACATCTCAGCTGGAATCATGGGTGAAAATGAACGTCCTCTCTGAGGAGAAGCAGAACGAGGCTTACAGAAAGGTGGGAAGCTAAAGGAAGATGAAAGAGTCACAGTAGTAGTAGGAGTACGAGACTGTAGTGCCGGAAGTCCCAGCTGGCTTCATTCTTAGCATAGTCTGGGTTTACGCCGAAGCCCCTGGAAGGACTGAGGATCAACCGACCGGTCTGAGGCCCAAACACAGGAGAAACACTTCACAAGAGGAACACCCAGCAGTGTTTGATTCGTGTTTTCTTGTGAGCACAACCTCCGCATTTGGAGAACTCATTCACTAAGTCCCATTAAAGGAAATCTGCTGCTGGATTTTGGAGACTGGAGATTCCCAGGTCAGTGTTGGTGGATTAGGCTTCACCACAAAAACATACAACGTTTCACTAAGCCTAGCCAAACTCTGAGCTGTAATCATGACTGCAGAAAGCTCTGGGTGCACACAAACTCTGCAATGGCCTCTGTGACCAGAACAAGAGCAGAAGGACTTCAGAGTTTCTGCACAGGAAAGAAGAACAGATGATGGATAAGTGAAGGATATCAGCTGAGAGGACAGGAAGTCAGAGCATCAACATCAAACACAGATAAAACCAGCAGCATGAAGGGAGATTTAGTTCAGATGTGAAGCAGCTGGCACTCACGTGACTCGGGGACACTGGCCCCAGGTGCAGCGCTGATAGTCTGGTTTAATGTACGTCTCCACCCCATCCTCCATCACACAGCTAACTGTGCGCGTCACCACATAGGCACACCAATTCCTGTGAAATCACACACACACACACACACACACACACACACACACACACACACACACACACACACACACACACACACACACACACACACACACACACACACACACACACACACACACACACACACACACACACACACACACACACACACACACACACACACACACACACACACACACACACACACACACACACACACACACACACACACACACACACACACACACACACACACACACACACACACACACACACACACACACACACACACACACACACACACACACACACAAAGGCATTTAAGGAGAGAAGTAAACAAGCACTGACTGTTGCTTTCCTCCAAGTTCTAAATCAAAGATGCCCAAAACAGCCATGAGCCTGATCACCTGATCCGGGTCTCTGCAGACAGGAAGTGATAATCATCAGAGAGCTGGTTAGCTGATTGTGAGGCTCTATTATAAGTTTGAAGATCGAGATCTCAAACCCTGGACTCGTTTGTTCTTCTAAACTCAGAAACATGTCAGATCAGTTCAGACTTAATGCTGTTTAAACAGGGCTGCATTGTATCCATCCTCTACTGAAACACACACACACACACACACGCACACGCACACGCACACGCACACACACACACACACACACCCACAACAAATATGAGGAATAGAAGTGGGACAGCTGGGAAAACTCTGGCAGAGAATGATCCTGTAGGAACATCTCGAACCCTAACCCTGGAGCCACTTTCAGAGCAACGTTCACATTAAACATGTCTTAGCTTTTTATCTGTGGGGTGCAAAAGTTTCATGGCCAATCTGCAGCAGCAAAGAGCAGCAGTCGTGTGTAAGAACGTGAACTCTGTGTTGTTCTAGTGAACATGGAAATGTGTCTTCAATCATACCAGCTGTGGCCTGTTGGAAGGCTGATGCACCAATACGATGGTTTGGAACCAAGAAAGCACGTTTTAATCCCAGTTTACCATGGAAAGACCTTGTCCTGCAAGTCTCCCTCATGGAAACACATCTCTCTTGGTAAACTCACAGTAATCCACGCTTCCTCGTGCTGATCTGGAGACACACTCATCTTAAAGGAATTTGGCTGAATTCATGTCATCAGCGCTGAGGCGGCCTCGCTCGTGGACTGTGCTGTGAGGCTGTGCTGGTTTTTTACACGGTGTGTTTGGGAAGCAGAGATCTAACAGCTCACCAGGAGCTGAACAAACACAGATGCTTAGAAATCAGCCTGCTCCGTGTTTGATCCCCCTCTTGTTCCACTGTGAAGATGTTATCACGGATTCAGTGGAACTCGTCCGTCCGTCATTTATCCCGACTCACTAACTCAAACTGTGACACGCAGCAGACGAGGGATAAATAAGGCAGCTTATGAATTCTGATGGAGAGCAGGCGCTGTTCTCACACAAATAAGCCGCCTCGCTCACTTTTGACCAGACCCAGATGTGCACACAGACACACAAACGTGCGTCTGTGCTTCCATTCTGGCAAACCCAAGCTTACTGTCCACGTCCTGCTGCCAGGGAGTTCGTTTTCCATCCTTTCATCGTGGGACTGTGTGAGAGAAGCCTTTGTATTTGTTAGAGGAGAGCTAACCATGAGTGTAAAATCAATTAAGAGCGTGTGTGTGTGTGTGTGTGTGTGTGTGTGTGTGTGTGTGTGTGTGTGTTGGGCGGGGGGCAGTTTACAAAAGCTAAAGTACTCCTACTCTCCTGTCACTCTGCACTTTCAAATAAAGGTCACTAGAGCATTCAAATGCTGAGAGCTCATGCATTAAAGGTTCAGTTGTTGTGTTTTCAGCTGAAGGGGCGACACACTTAAAAGATGTCGGCAGTAAATCAACCTTGTTGACTTTCTACTTTGTTTTTGTTTGCATTTGCATGTTTTGTTGCCAGACTCCTCGTGATCGTTGCAGGTTATTACTGAAACTCCCAGAAAGTACTCATTGGACCAGCGCCTAAAAGACCTAGAGTCAACCCAATTCAATATGGCCGCCACAGCCAAGTGACGTAACTAAAGGCTGGTTCATGCTTCTCCGTCAGCTCCAACAGGGACAGACACGCACGGATTGATGGAAGCGATTTGCTCTCATACTTCTCCGTCTCCTGGAGAGTGTTGCAAAGCAATTCCCCGCCAGGACAGCAGAGGGCGTAGCGCTGTTCTGTGGTATCCTGTCATGTATCGGTCCAAGATAGCATGTTTATATTGTGTTTTTTGTATATATAAGAGACTTTTAACACGTACAAATTTGTCTCTCATCCTCCTCCACCGCTTCATGCGCTCGCCACCTCCAAACCCACGTTTCCTATCATTTCTGTCCACAAATAAAACGCTTTTCACTCCTCCAGTCACGGGGGATTAAATGTTCATATTTTAGAGTTTTTTCACGAGGTATTCAAGCTTCTCCGTGTCTGCTGCTAGTTATCCTCAGCTCTCTTTGTTTTTGAGGGTGCAATGGTGACGGTGTAGACGACAGCGGCGTCCTGACCAATCACAAGCTCGCGTTCTGTCTCGTTCGACGGATGTTTAAAAAGGTGGGCTCGACTCCGTACGTACTTGCGTGCCTGCCGGGGCCCTACACAAGGACAGATAATGGCGTTGCGTGTCTCTGCACTGACGCAGATGGAGAAGCATAAATCAGGCTTAAGACTAAAGCTTTTAGTTTTACAGATACTGAGCTAACATTTCATGTTAAGCTAGCTGTTAATCCTACACCACACATGCATTACTGGAGCGCTAACAGATAATGTAATTGTTTGAAGTATTGTGTGAGATTGAGTATGACCTTATTTTCAAGATGTTCCAACTACAGAGGGATCACACTCCTGAGCCTCCCTGGGAAGGTCTATTCGGGAGTTCTGGAGAGGAGGGTCCGTTAGATAGTCAAACCTCCTCATTGTTCAATTCAGTTCAAGTTTACTTATACAGCGCCAAATCACGACAAGGCACTTCAAATAAAAAACGTTCAGGAGGAACAAGGTGGTTTTCTTCCTGGCCGTAGAACACTAGACCAGCTCTAAACCCTTAGGGGGGTCCGAGGGGGCGTGGGAGTTTGTCCAAACACTCTACATTTGGAGAAGGCGTTCGACTGCGTCCCTCAGGGGGCCCTGTGGGGGGTACATCAGGAGTATGCAAGTATACGAACTGTTAGGTCCCTGTACGACCGGTGTCAAAGCTTGGTCCGCAATGTAAGTCAGGCTCATTCCTAGAGAGAGTCGGGCTCTGCCAAGGCTGCCCTTTGTCACAGATGCTGTTCATGAGTTTTATGGACAGGATTTCTAGGTGCAGCCAAGGCGTTGAGGGGATCCGTCTTGGGAGCTGGCCCAAGTGGTTGGAGAGAGGGTAGTCTGGACCTCCCTGCTTAGGCTGCTGCCCCGTGACCTGACCCCAGATAAGCGGATGACGACTCAGAGTATAAGTGTACAAAATAAAATGAAAATGAAGCTTTCTTAGCTGCAACTGAGGAAACCGGCCGAGCTTTCGAAACAGAAATATTCCCGATCTTTAGGAAAATAACTTTCAGGTTTTCCACAAGCTTATTAAGAGTTCCATCTTGTAGTCATACTCAGATTCATCCAATCTTCATGTTTTTTGATTCACACTAACGGCAGATCTGTTTGCAGTTACTATCGCGGTAACCAGAGCCCAAGTAAAACAACATGCATGGCCTTTCTAATTCAGATAGATTGCTAGCAGGCTAATGTAGCGCTAACGTGTCGCCTCAGGAGAGCTTGTCTGCAGGTAGGACACTGTAATGTGTGCAAACTGGGCATTTAACATGGTGGAAAAGCCAGAGCTGCATTCAACACTACAAGTCCAACAGCCTCGTTACAAAACAACTTCTTTCTCGATTGGATTGTCCCTTCAGGCATCGCCGCAGCGATTCATCGGTCTCCATTTTGTTCTAGTCCTTCACGTTAAAAGCAAATGCCTGCTCATTACTCAGAGTTCACAGCAGGAACCCGCACAGGAACACGGATCCAGCCAACACTTAAAGACACGTTCAAAAAGAGAAATAGCATCCAAACAGCAGAAGGGTCACAGCCAAGAGAGCACGGTGTAGAGTTCTGTATGGCTTTTATGAACGACACGATTAGTCGACTAAACGTGTCGTTCATAACAGTTTAGCTTATTGCACCAGGAAGCTCTAAAATACCCATCATTAGCTTCTAGTGTGACGTGTGATCAGTTATGTGCCATCTGATAATAAAGACAAGAGGATAGCTTATCAATCAGCTTTTAATCAACCTGTTAATTAACCCGTTAACCTGCTTCATCCTCCAGCCTCAACTCAGGAGATAGCAGAACACACCGAGGTACGCCTCTGCAGCACGGCTGGTCCACACGTCAGCAGTCAGGGACCACCGACAGCTCTGAGGGTCTGCTTTAGCGTGAAGATAAAAGATATTAAAGTTCATTTATTTAACAATTTAATAATTCTGTTATATGTAATAAAGTTGGTTAAGATTTAACACAAAGAAAATGTTTTATGCTTTAAAATAATATTTGATTGTTCAGTCATCGACTTTTTATTTAATCATAAATGCATTTTATTCTAATGTTTATTTTATTTGTGTCCGCACGCGCACGCACGCGCACGCACACGCACACGCACACGCACACGCACACACACACACCTTAAAGGTTGTTTAATTTTTCTTTTCCATCATGGTGGTGAAGTGGGATCAGCCGGGTAGGTGGTAGTCGTGGTAACCGGGGTTGAGCTGCTTGATCATCTCTGTGAAACCTTTATACCCACCATGGGCAGGAGTCTCGTGACCAACATGCTCACAGTGGCCTCGGTCAGGACGTTAGCTTGCTGAGGTGTGCACGTAACAAACTCGTCCACTGAAGAGGAGCACTGTTATTAACACGTAACGTAGCGGGATGAAAGTCATCATTAGCGTTTGTAATTAGAAGAAGAAGAAGAAAATATCATTTCTATAGCACCTCTCAAGATAAAAATCACGAGGCGCTTTACAAAAACAAAACAAAAAA